GTTTTTAAATGAAAAAAGTTGTATCAGTCAATTTTTTAAATATAGGCAAGTACACATACAATTTTTCCTGTTTTACACATAATACATGTATGTATATTAGTTCTCTCATTTAACATTGTATGCAGACATCTTTCTATATTAGCAGAAATGGTTTACCTCATTTTTTATAACAGCAACATAGTATAGTAAGAATGCATCACGATTGATGGGCATTTAGATTATTTCTAATTTGCTACTACAATGCTGAAATGAAAATATTTTGCACACATTGGTGTGCACACACACACAAGCAAGGAGTGCATGCATTTAAAACTTTCATTTATATTGTCAAATTCTCTTAAAAACCTGTCTCACACCAAACTTAGGATAAATTAATTTTGCAGGTTCATAAAATACAACATCAATATACAGTAATTAAAATTTGAAAATTTTAAAAAATACTATTTAAAATAACACCAAAAAAATCAAATACCTAGAAATAAGCCCAACAAAAGATACCAGACCGCTACAGAGAAAACTATAAAACATTACTGAAAAAAAAATTAAAGATCTGAATTAAGTGAAGGGGTATACTATGTTGATGAATTAAAGGACATAACTATATAAAGATGTTAATTCTCAAATTTATTAGAGAGTCAATAAAATCCTAATCAAAATCCCATCAGGTTTTGTTACTGTTTTATTACTGATATTGACAAGTTGATTCTAAAAGGTATATAAAAAATCAAAGTGCCAAGAACCAATACAATCTTGAACAAAAAAAAACTGGAGGACTCACACTGCCAGATGTTGAATTATTTCAAACCCACAGTGTTGCAATGGCACTAGGACAAATAAACCAACAGAACAATAAATGGTGCTGGATCGATTGAATATCTACATGGAAAAATATTATTTTTAACATCTCCCTATCATGAAGAAACACTAGATGATTCTAGATCAAGATATGAGAGGTCAATCAATGCTTTAAAAAAACAAAACAGAAACAAAACATAAAAGATTAATCATCTTGGGATAGGCAAGTATTTCTTAAGTAGGACATATAAAGGACTTACCTTAAAGGAAAATACGGGTAACTGTACTATACCAAAAGCTATTATTAAGAAAATGAAAACGCAAGGCACAGAATGAGAGATTATTGCAATAACTCCAAAGACATACTCTTCCTAAATTATAGAGACTTACTGAAAAAACAGTAAAAAAATGACAGCCCAACAGAAAAACAGGCAAAGCGGATATTTAACAAAATATCCAAATGTCCAATAAACCTATTAAAGAGTGCCATCTCATTAACCAAGAAAATGCAAATTAAATTCAGAATGAGATACTACTATATAAACTCCCAGAATGCTACAGCTAAAAATTGTGACCGTATGAATGCCAGCGAGGATGTGGGCAAACGGGATTTTCATCCACTGCTGGTACAACTGCAGAACAGCACCACTTTGGAAAATGTTTTGCAGTATCTGCTAAAGCTGAACAAACGTATTCCCTGTGACCCAGTGATTCCATCCTTAGGTATATATGCAACATCCACACATACATGTATATACCAAAAGACATGTACAGGAATGTCTGTAACATTATTTGTAACATCCAAACATTGAAAATAGCCCAGTGCCCATCCACAGAATACATAATGGTATACTAACACAACAGAATACTATAAAGCCATGAAACACACTATTATTAGGTAATGACATGGACTAACCCCACAAACACGACGTTGAGAAGAAAAAAAAGTCTGATTCCATTAATGTCAAGTTCAAAAACAGGCAAAACTAATCAATGGCGATCAAGATACTGGTTTAGTTGCAGGGGTAATCACTAAGAGAAAGCATGAGGGAGTCTTCTTTGTACTGGTCCTGTTCTATTTCTTGATGTGAGTGGTAGCTAAATGGTGTTACCTTTGTTAAAATTCATTAATAAGTTGTACACTTTTAATGTATTTTTTTATACTTCAATTTTAAAAGCTTACTTTTAAAAAATCCCAACAGTACGTTTCTCTACATCCTCACAATAGAATATAACCTAATCTTTGCCAAAGTGAAAGTGGCATCTCTTAATTTTGGCTTACGTGTCTTTAATGCAAATGAAAAGTTGAGTTTTTTAAAAAAAAATGTTTTTGAAGGCTTTTTTTGTTCCTACAATTCTGTTGAAAGCAAATTCTGAGTGTTCAACAGGTGTTATGGCCTGTTTAACATGGCTACAAATGTGTAATTAATGGGGAAGTCTTAGGTGCTAAAGTAAGCCCTATCCAGCCCTATAGCACCAAAAATGTTAATGGCAAAGGTCTTTGTAGAAGATCCAAAAACAAGCAATATGGGATGGAAGCACAAGTACCAAGTGCCAGACATTTCAGCCTAACTGGAAAAATGGTCAACGAGAGCTTTAGACAAGGCAGAAAGCTCCTGGACATACTTCATACCGCCCAGGTTGTGCAAGTACATATTAACTTCAATTATTTGAGATACAAATGTCTAAAATGCAAGGAACTTTTTAAGAAAAACAATTTGCAACCCTCCTTATACATAGCAAGGTCTATAAGCTACAGCCCCACATGAGCTGATGGTGCAAGAGCACCAACCCAGGATCTTCCCTAAAGCAGTAACTGAGACAGTGCAGAGAATTTCTTAAAAAGCTGGAAAGTAATGTATTTTAGAAATATTTCCACCAAAAGTGGCTAAAAATTTGAGTTTGACCTGAAGGTATTAAGACTTTGGTTCTCTAGTACTGAGGCAATCTGACAATCCATAATCACTGACTACTGATTTGTCCAAGCTAACCTATTTTAAATTAGAACTGTTCCAACTATAAAACATACTAATTCTTAAATTTATAAATTAAGCCACAGATTAAAAAACAAATTGCCAAAAATCTAGGTAGTAAGCCTTTCTGACTCCATTTTAGACAGCCACCTCAGAGCCCTAAATTCATTTATCATTTATATTCTAATTCAATTCTAATGATTAACAGATTACAGCTTTTGAAGGGACAGATCAACTGTAAAACCTATGCTTACCTCAGAAATGTTAAAATATATGTATCTTAAATGATCACTTTAGGATAGAGAAAGTAGTTTCAATAAAACAGAGTTCTGATAAAGAACAAAAAGGTAGAATGGCTTAAGGATTAAAAGCATGGGCTCTTCAGTCATACAAAACCATCTCTGAATCCTGCTTGAATACTACCAGCTCTGTGGCTTTGGGCAAGTTCAACTTCTCCCTATTTGTTTTCCTATTTGCAAAATGCAAGTGACAGCTCACCTCATCATCATCACCTACGTGCGACATTGCAGACACATCTTATTGTAAGTAGTACAGTGCCTGGTCCATAGTTATTAGATAATTATTGTCAGTATCAATTACAAGCCTAGTAACTCTGAGATATAAAACAAGACAGGGTTGGGGTTTGCTGATCCAGCTTGGATCAGAATCACCACCTCCTCTAAAAGATCACAATCCCTTTAATTACCCATCTTATAATTTTACCAGAAATCCCTGTGAGCTATTACTTGTAACAAAGATCTTTATACCAGTTTTTCAGCATAGCATGCTCTACTCTGTACCAGTTTTTTCAGCATGAAGTCTACTCTCCTCTCCCCTGTCCTAGATTCAACAGCATAGCAGCTAATTTATACACTTAAGTGGCATTTGTCTGGGGCAGGAGCCAAGTTAGAAGTTATGATATATCCCATAACTTCCCCTTAGAATCTATTTTAAGTTCATTCTCATCTTCTCAGAAGCAAAATATAACATTGGAGATTTGCTTTTCTGGCCACCCATCCCAGAACCCAACATTTTAGAAAACATTTAGGTCTAAAACTGTTTACAAATCAGCCCTGCCCAGTGTGGCTCAGTTGGTTGGAGCATCATTCTATACACCAAAAAAAAAAAAAGTTCAATTCCCAGGCAGAGCACATACCTATGTCAGGGGGTGTGCGGGAGGCAACTGATTGATGTTTCTCTAGTATTGGTGCTTCTCTCTCCTCCTCCCTTACTCTAAAATCAATATAAAAAAAAACTTTTACAAATCAAAGCACTAAGAATTGTATTTAAAACACAAATTAACTGCATTCAAGTTATAACGACAACTGGAGTTTCTATGGCAATCAGTTTACTCTCAAATATTTGACTAAACCAGGAGCTGAAAAACTCCACCTTTCCTAACCAGTTACAGGACGTGGGTGTGACACTGTCCTTACAGGGCAGTGTCCCCTTTCTGCAGTCTTCTGATGTGTAACAGGAATCTTCCTAAAGACCTGTACCAACAATCACTCTCTTAAGTACCTCTCTGATTTTTTCAGGTGGCAGGTTTTCTCTCAATACCGAGAATGACACATCCTTAAAAAAATGCTCATAGCATCCTGCTTCAATGAAGTCTACACAGCTAACGAAGGAAACTTTTTCACTAAATCACTAAATTTCTGATATAAAATGATCTACATTAAATTAAAACATCTATACACATTGATGTACAGACAATCTCTCTGGAGGAAACTTAAGTGTTTCTAGTACGGGGGACCATGGCTATACTGTTATATACATGTACAACTGAGAATTTATATTATTCTCTGCCCTGCCACTGACTACTGTGGTGGTAGTAGGGGTTGAGGTGGAGGGGGATAATTTTATCTCAGCCTGAGAATTATTCTAAGATATTCAGCCATATTTGGTTATACAATCCAAAACTCCATGCTAGAAAATAACCCATAATTACACCGTGTATTAAATACACATTTGTACTTTAATGACTGAAATAAATACTGTGTTGCTACCTAGTTTAGAAAACAGGATAGGTAATGAATTGACTTGTACTACTTAGTGTTCTTCACAGACAGGTTACAGGTCATTTTTTTCCAAAAATATACATCTTTGGGAAACAGACAAGTGATTTATGAAAGAAAAAGAGACCTTTTCACATTCAGGCAAATAATACCATCAATGTGTTTAGACTAGAGATTTTATTTTAGAAAGATAAAAGATGGAGGCGCAGTAATATTTGGCATTTTTAATTTAGGTCTGTTTTATTTAAGTTTAATGTTAATTCCATGCTGTGTTTCAGTAAGAACAATACAGATTCTGTATCTGTGGCTCCAGTCAGATATCCAGTAGTACAAATTAGCTTCAAGTTACACATACTGAACAAAAGAGGTTGAGCGAGCGAAGGGGGGGCTGGGGAGAGGGAAGGAGAAGAAACAAAGAATTGAACACGCATGCAGGCTTTCCCATACCACCTTCAATGCTAACCTGCTTCAGAGGGAGAGTAAAAGTAGGCAAGAATGAGCAGCCACGGATTGTTGAACTGTTACCAGCACCATGCTTTTCAGCAACATTTCAGCAGAGTTTGAAACACTTTTTACAGCAAAACCATTACAACAAGCTCCCCAAAAAACCTTTAACCACTTCAAGCTAACACCCAATTAATTTTAAACATTGGTATAAAATTTAAACAATTAGAAAAAGGAAAAATGATACCACATATGCCACTACAGTGTGATTAACCTCTCACTTAGATGCTTACTTCACCTAGAAGTCTAATGGCTTTCAAATGTAATTTCCATTTCTAATGGTAACCTTGCCACATCTGGCAGGAGACAATACAGTAATGCTGAAAAAGCCTCTATGCAGTCCTGTTAGTGTCTTAAAGAACCTAAAAGCTGGGACCAGTAAAATCCACAGAAATTCACTCTTGCCTTTAAGAACTTTTGAAAACTGTTTTTAAAAAAAAACCAACAGGGCAGGAACCTAAATTCTGAGACCAAATGTAAAAGTCAGATTTGGTGGTTCTCAGTGACAATGGGGGAATCTCCAAGAGGGGTGGGATGGGGAGGAGTAGGGTGGTCAGAGATGGGTTCTCTTGTTGGCTTTTATGTCTCACTGATTTTCGTCTTCCACATCCTGCAGCGCTTCTTTATTCTGCTCCTCACCTGCAAAGAGGAATGACAGTTAATTATTTCATACTGACTAAATTAAGCTGTCATGGTCACAAAGGTATCATTCCAAACATAAAGATTCCTTATATTTGCTACAGTTGATATTAAACACAGACAAGCAAAGAACTTCTACCATCCCTGACACCCGAGATGCCTAAGCCAAGAGGTGCTGCTGGATCAAAGTCTTAAATGGTCAACAGGATGGAAAAAAAACCTGACACAGTAAAAAACAAACAATGTTTTTATGCTAAATAAGCTCTTGTAGACAGCCATGGTAACCGTTTTATTAAAATGATTTTCAAGCTTTCATGTATATCATGTCAAAATACCCTTTCTCAATAACCTCACCTCATCAAAGATCAGGAGTATTTTACAATTTTTTGCAAAATCTAATTTACCCACAAGCTTCGTGTCAGAAATATTTCAATAAAGAGAACTGAGCAGTAAAATGCTCCAAAGGCCTTCTATAGTTTTAAAGGGTTCTGTTTTTGTAAATATTCTCTATTCTGTATCTTGGCCAATCACACCAAACCATAACCAGAGTTCTCACTCCAGAGTAAACCAGCAAGCTCAAAGTAAACCAGACCACTGAGGCTATTGAAGAAGGGCATTTGGGCCAGTTCTCTCATGCCATTTTTCTTTCCCTCTGAACATGACAATTAGCCTGGAAAGTTTCAACTGCACTTTGACATGCAATAGAAAGCCAGCCTATTCATCTACCTATTAATAAGCATTAAATAAGTCAGGCATAACAAAGAAGCATGCAGGATTTCACTAAAAAATAAAACAGGTCAAAGTTACATTCTTTTGTGCTGTAACAAATCACTTATAAGTCTTACATATTACTAGTGTGAATCAAAATAATTGAAAAATCAATTAACCCAACAATCATAATATGACAGTTTAGACCATCCATCCATTTATATTGCTTGTTAAATTACTTTAGGACGGACAATGACACTAAGACTGGTTGCCTACAGACATAAAGCATTTATCCTGAGGGATGCTTTTAAACAGTCTTCAAGACACTGATATGCTAAACGATAAATGCTGTCACGGCAACAAGGGTTAAGGTAAAAATTAGTTTGTCCTGGGTAAATTAGTTTGAAAATCTCCTTTGTAATAGAAATGTTTAATATTGATATGTGACTCTAACAAGTACCTGTGGTACATACAGAAATTTTTGACTCATATATAGAAAAAGACATGCAAAGACAAAAATACCCATTTGCTGAGGAAAGATATGATGACTACCCAACTATTCTTCCCCCAAGAACAATGTATTCAAACTTAGGAAATGATAGGAGCATTCACTCATTTTTAACAGCAATATACTGCACCAAAATATGGCTAACATACAATAGAGCACACTCTAAATCACTCATAAGCAAACATTAGATTTGCCAAAAGTTCCAAGTAACTTTGGCATAAAAATATTGTCAGATGAATCACACCCAAACAAAGGTGACAGGTAGCAGATCATAAATGTCTTGGAAGGTTTTGCATCCTGGAACGCAGGACAGGCAGTTTTGTAAGCAACAGGATGATCATGTGCAAGCGCGATTAGTGAAGAACCAAGACTAAAAGCAGAATTCACTGTGCCATGATAATGACTTACAAAGTAGTTTTTAGGAAAGGAAGAGTTGGATTTTCCTTTAGGAATCTATATTGCAAGGAGAAAGGGAGGGAGAACAATCACATGAAAGCAACATCACAAGAAAAATAAACCAAGAAAGCAGGACAAAGGAAAACATCAATGATTGAGAGGAGTCGGATTTTGGGTCTTTTTACTTTATATAAACTTCACTCTAAGAAATACTGTTCCTTTTACCTTTAAGAGGATGAACCAATATCCTTTTAAAGGATACAGAGAAGAAAAGTTTTCCTTGGATATGTATTTCTTTGCCCACTCTTTCTAGATTTGGGGGGGGAGAAGAATGGGAGGCAGAGAAAACACACATATCCTCTCTGTGGATTTACATATGAAACAGTCCTCTGATCACAGGTTAAGAAAAAAAGGACTGAAATAGCTTCGAGAAAAAGTTGTGATCCTTTTAAAGAATTATGTTCCAACACACTAAGACAGACAAAACATTCTGCAGTCAAAAAAACATAAAGGTGAATAAAAGTAAAAAAACTTTTGAACCACATAAATTTTTTCCTTTAGAAACCCTCAATTTAAATGTTTTGACACCATTTTCCCTAGTTAGTAAAGTAAAAAAGGAGAAAACAATCTATATAATACTTAAACTAAATTCAAGTAACATTCTGGAAAACTGCCCATTCCATGACCACAATTCTTCTATATTCAGCATTGATTCTAAGTCACAAAACCAATTTAATAAACCATATGTAATACTATACCTTTTAGCAAAACTGGCAAATAATTTCTTAGTACCCACAACAATTTATAAATTCAGGTAATCTGTTAATTTTACTAAAAGGTCAAGATACTACTTGGATTTTCATGTTAAACTATCATGTTGGAATTCTATCATGTTTGATAATTCCAAATATTTTATAATAAAGCTCTTAAATGAAAATTGGTTTGTTTCAAACAAATTTAACCAACCATTCCACTTACAAAGTAAAAAGGAACTGAAACAACTAGATGTCACTAAATTTAAAAACTTACAGAATTAATCTATGCTAATGTAATAAAACCTTCCCAACTATAAAAGCATAAGTAGTTTAAAGAAAGCATCCTATTTTAAAATGATCCATTTCATAAAATGAAACCCAATAACCAAAAAAAGTAGTATCTTTGATTCTGTATAAAAACAGTGACATACAGTCTACTTCAATTAATCAATTCTTGGTTATCAGTGATAATGATCAAGAGGAGCACTAGAAAATATAAGATTTATTTCTATTTAACACTGTAATTTAACATCTTAGTTGTAAGAGCTGGCATCAAATGTCCAAAACAATAGCATTTCAACCCAGGTCACCCTTGTTATTTTTACCCTCAAATAATGTCCCCAGGTGAGAGGTGTATAGTTTATTATTATTAGGTCAATACTGCTTACCAAACTCTCCACATGCTTTCCTTTTATCCCCTCAAACAGGCAGATATATTAGTCTTCTCTGAGCTGAAGGTGACTATGAGGAGTCCACAGCTATTTGGCCATTTCTTAGTAGTTATTGTTAGAATACAACAAAATTTTACAGCTGGAAGGAACCTTAAGTCATTAGTTCAAAGATGGTAAATTGGTCTTGAATACCAGAGATTCATGGTAGTGGTTGCCTGAAGTGCTGTGTTGAAAAGTAATCCATCTGGCTTTGTTGGAAAAGTATACAAGTAGGTAACATGTGCTAGTTATCTCAAGCCAATCCTTGTCAAATATCTAAATACTTCACAGAGCTAGTGAGCTCTAGAAGCTGTCACCCAGTTCTCACTTTAGCACCGTAACCTAAGGTAAGTCTAAAGCCTAACTCTATCCTTCTAGACTAGAGTAAGGAAACTGGCAATTTACATGTCTTGATACCCATTTTCATATGCACCTTTAAAAAGTATAATGCTTCTAAAGACAGTAGAGCATGTTGTGTTTGACCAAGAGACTATGGCTAGCCTCGAGCAATGCATATGCTTCAATTTGAGGAACACCGCCCTTAAAGGTTCTGCAGCTAAAACCGACAGCAAACCTTTTGTTTCCGCTCCCTACATTACCACCAACTATAAAACTATCTGTGGTCACATCACATGAGTCTGCCCTCCCCTCTTCAATGATCTATTGTGTATAAAAATGACTCCTTGGAAATAAGCAGAATACAATCTCCTTTAAAATAAAGAAATTTTTAAGTGACAAATTTGGGCTTTTACTACATTTAAAATAAACAGTAAATCCTCCAACTCCATCATAAGAGTAAGTTCTATAAACTACTCAAGTAATTGTTTACTACTGAAATGTCTAAAAAAATACAGACAGACTACATCAGGTCTCTTATTAAATAGGACCTAAGGGCAGGGCAGGACATTCCATTTTCCGTACAGAATCCAGAGGAAAAACTTCCTTTTTTAGATAAAAGATTTCCAGAGAAGATGCTTCATAAATATCCGACACCATCTAGTTTAACCTGAGGACACGACTCAGCCAAAGCAGTGATCACGACATTCAAATACAATTAACCTCAGTCCCCTAAAATTGAATCTGAGTAACATCAAATGTTGTTCTTCCTCCTCCAACATCCAAAACAAAACATGAGAGAAGAGGTAAACTAGATTTAACAATTAGAGGTAAAACTTTTAAATATTTAAATATTAATAAAAGATCCCCTTTATCTTACAGCCCAGAACAGAAGAACGTACTTTGCTCTCTTTTCATGAAAAAGTAGTATTAAACTTTGATAGTTTGGAGGACAGTTTAGAGGAAACTGTAGCTTAATGTAAAGAAGTACCAGGGATTTCTAAGCATAAAAAAAATCCAACAGAGACACATTTTAACTTGAGTTTCCTTACCATCACCCTGCATGTCTGAAGTCCATAGTGTCAGATTATCACGTAACAACTGCATGATAAGTGTAGAGTCCTTATAGCTTTCTTCACTCAGCGTATCCAGTTCTGCAATTGCATCATCAAATGCTGCTTTTGCCAACCTACAAGTATTTACATAAATGTATTACAAAAATAAACTGAAGTCCAAAAACAATTAGAAATGGTATTAGTTAGATATTGCTCTTTTCTTCAGTTATCCCACAACATGAATAGTGACACTGAATACCTGGGTTTTGGCATTAAAATAAAGAAAAAGCACATGTAACTGATGAAAATTAACTTTATATATAATTTTGTAATCTAGCAACTTTGGAGCTAAGTAGAACTTTTGGAGCTAAGTGAAACTTTTGGAGCATCACTTCTTAGTGTGCTTTCAACAAGCCTATCAGTAAATAGACTTTATAGACCAAAATCCAAACTAAAGCACCACCAAAATATATGCATAAAAGAGGTAGTTTCCAGTTCCAGTCAATAACTCACTTATTTAATAAAATTTAAATGCAAAAAGAAATCTTTGGACAGCTATCTCACAGTTTAATAGAATTTAATGTTAATGGAAGCCAAAAATGGGGAGGGGGCAATGCAGAACCCATGAAAATGTAACCATAAAAGTCATTTACTATTAGTTTAGAAGAAATAAAATCCACATTTATTGAGTACTGTGTACTATGTACACCAAATGATGCTGGACACTGGTGGAAAAATAGAAAAGAGTAAAGAGCATAATCTGAGTCCGAAATGAACTTAAAACATCTAGGAATAGGACTGACACATAAATATTCTAAAAGAAGGATGTGCTATTCTAGAAAAAGTGCTTCAGGCACCCATGAAGAAGAGCAAATAGGGGAAGTCAAATCTGAACTAATCTTAATGGGTAGGAAAAGAGCATAAATGGCAAACTTCAGACCAAAGCAAAAGCATGAGTGAAGGCATGGGACAGCTAGACTGGAGGGTAACAATGCAAGATTCAACCAATACTATCAGCTGAACAGACAGCTACAGCTTCTTCAGTTAAGATATACCTGTTCCAACTAACTCAACTAGCCACTTAGAATGTGTTTCTTTAAATAGTTTAATGCATTTTAAATAATTTATTGATTTCTAGAGAAAGAGGAAGAGAGAGAGAAACATCGATGTGGCAGCAAAATATCCATCAGCTGCTTCCTGCAGGCCCCCCTAATGGGGATCAGGCCCAAAACCCAAGCATGTGCCCGGACCAGGAATAAAACAGGCAACTTTTTGGTGCACAGGACGACAGCCAATCAACTGAGCCATACTAGCAGTTAGAATGTTTTTAGATGAATATTAGTTTGCACTCAAATGTATCCACCTGAGGAAAAGCTCTTCTTTCATGGCATATTTGGTTCCTACATGCTCAAGAATACTGAAGTCACAAAGGACAAAAACAGATGGCCCTTGAACAACATGGGTTTGAATTTCGTAGGTCGACTTACGATGTTTTTTCAATAAATATATTGGGATTATGTTTTTTGAGACTTGAGACAGTATGAAAAAACTTGCAAACTGCATATGCCAGAAATATCAGAATTAATAAAGTTAGGTGTATCGTGAATGAAAAAAATATATTTTCTCTTTGCTATGATTTCCTCAATAACATTGTCTTTTCTCTAGCTTACTTTATTGTAATAACAGCATATAATACAGAAATATAACATAGAAAATACATGTTAATCGACTTTTTCGTAAGGCATCTAGCCAAAAGTAGGCTTTCAGTAGTTATTGAAGAGTCAAAAACTGTATGTGAATTTTCAACTACACTGGGGGAAATCAGCGCTCCTAATCTCTACATTTTTCAAGGGTCAAATGAATATTACTCTAATTATATGAGGTACCTAAAATAGACAAATTAATAAAGACAGAAATTAGAGATTATAGGGGGTTGGGGTTATGGAGATTTATCCGTTAGTGGTTATAGTCTGTTTCAGGTAATGAAAAGATTTTGGGAATAGATACTGATGCCAACTAAACTGTAAATTAAAAAATGATTAGAACGGCCATCAGCATGGCTCGGTGGTTGAGCATGGACCCATGAACCAGGTCACAGTTCAATTCCCGGTCAGGGCACATGCCTGGGTTGCAGGCTCAATCCCCAGTAGGGGGCGTGCAGGAGGCAGCCGATCAATGACTCATCATTGATGTTTCTCTCTCCCTCTCCCTTCCTCTCTCTGAAATCAATAAAGATATATTAAATAAAAAAATATGAGAGATAGTTTGACATGCATACATCAGTGAAGTGGAAAACTTTATATTAAAATAGAAAATACAAAGTGGTATATATAGACAATAAGCATAACTATATTAAAAATATACCTAACAAAGACTGAAAGCTAATACATAAAAATGAACACAATACTATTATAATTCCTCTCATTCCTTTTTCCCACTCTCTAACAAGTTCGAGATTCTTTTTAATCTACCAATAAAATTTTCCCCCATCAACATTATTATTATCTAACTGCTCTCTTAGTGAAATCACATAGGTTTGTCTTGAACTGAGATATGTGTGGCTTTGTATTATACAAAGCATTGTCATTGAGATTCTTTTTAAATACTCAGAAACCTAAGCATATATGTTCTTTTTTTACAGGCAAAAGGAAAGAAACCATTATTTGTACAGTTGATCCTGGAAAATATACGGAGTTTGTATGATGCTGTCTTTTAAATGCTGTCTTTTAAAGGTTAATCTACCAATAAAATTTTCCCCCATCAACATTATCATCATCTAACTGCTCTCCTAGTGAAATCACATAGGTTTGTCTTGAACTGAGATATGTGTGACTTTGTATTATACAAAGCAGTCATTGAGAGCAAAAAAAATGCTTTACTACATGTCCAAGCCTAGAAAGGCAGTTCAAGGGTACAAGACAGAAAACCAACTAGCTATTCCCCTTTGTGACCTTTTTGACTTTCATAGAGAGAGCTTTTGTTCTCCTCCACAACTTACCTGCAGGCACGGTCAGGGGAATTAAGAATTTCATAGTAGAATACTGAAAAGTTGAGAGCAAGACCTAAGCGGATGGGATGCGTTGGTGGAAGTTCTGTCATTGCAATATCACTAGCAGCTTTATAAGCCACTAGGCTATTCTCTGCAGCCTCCTTCCTGTCATTTCCTGTGGCAAATTCAGCCAGATACCTGTGGTAGTCCCCTTTCCTAAAACAAAAAACAAACAAAACACAGAGTTAAAAATAATGCTATTTAAATAAAAAATAACTATTAAAATTTTTCTGTGTGAAAAATATATTAAACAATTAACTGGTACACGTCAGTAATTTTAAAAAATCTTTTCAGGAATGACTGCTTCATCTATTTAGTTTTCCTCCTTAGAGATTTCATATTGTCAAATATAAGCAAAGTCCTAGAGAAATTAATTGAAAACCTAAAAAAATAATAATAATAAACAAATTTATCACTGGATAGGCTAGAATTAAATAACAAAAGTGGTTCCAAAGAATGGTACAACAGTTTGTTCATCATGAAATAAAACTTACATAAAGATGTTAAGAATGAACTACATAATGCATTGCTCTCGCTAGGGGGAAAACCCCACACAGGCATACAGATGTAAACAGGTAAAATAAAACCTAGTACATTTTTACAGTAATAGTCTGTCCATCTTAAATGCTGTAATATTAATATTTCATTAAAAGTGAATTTGCAAATGAGAATTCAAAAATTAAGTTTTGATAATCACTCCTTCCATGTAACAACTATTGTAATCAATCCTTCCAACATTGAACAACTATTCTTAAGTAAAAATTGAAAACCTACGTAGAAAAAATGATTCTAAGACAGCCAACATTTAATCTGACATTTTCCCTTCTAGTATAAAACCTACATTTTATAATAGAAAACCTTGGACTCGCCAGTGTTAGCTGCTGGAATGAGGTGTTTGTCCAGTACATCCAGAATGTCACAACAGATTAACTTTAGTTCAGTCTCAACCTGAAAAAAAAGGTCAAAAACTGTTTAAGTCCAAGAAATTATAAATTAATCCCACATTCTACCTCTGGTTTTAAAGAAACCATATTAAACAAAAAGCAGAGAAAAGTTGTCTCCAATATAGAAATTATCTTATTTCTTTCTATGTGCTATTTAGTCAAGTGCTTTGATTGATTGATTTTTTTAGAGAGAGGGGAAGGGAGAGAGAAAGAGAAACACTGATCCATCTTCTCCAGCATAGGGAATGAACCTGCAACGTTATGTGCGCTGACTGGAAATCAAACCTGCCACGTTTTAGTGTTCAGGGTGACCTCCAACTAGCTGAGAAATACAGCCAGGGCAAGTGCTTTTATTTGTTTTTTCTAATATATCTTTATTGATTTCAGAGAGAGGAAAGGAGAGGGAGAGAGGGAGATAGAAACATCAATGATAAGAGAGTCATTGATTGAGTCCGCAACCCGGGCATGTGCCCTGACCCGGAATCGAACCCCGATCGCCTGGATCCTAGGTCAACGCTCAACCGCTAGGCCACACCCAGCCAGGCAGGGCAAGTGCTTTTAAAAAAATGAACTCATAGCTCAGGTATGGAAGAGTAACAGATTACTACTTACTAAGTGCTGCACATTCATATTAATTAAATTTTCTAATGAGGTATTATACTCAGAACCTCATAAACTGAAATAATACTTACCCTTTATAAGGGGATCATTTTCCCATCTATAAATTGAAATAATACCTACCCTTTATAGGGGATCATTTAAAGATTAAACAAATACAGTATCTTACACAATTATGTATCTTCCCACTCAGAACAGTGCCCAGCAGAGCTGGGAACAGTCCATAAATGTGGTTTCCCCTCCCCTCAACAAACTCATTCCTCTACTACTTTGTGCCTGCTTCTGTAATTTCTCCCACTGTACTCTGTGTAATATGCCTATCTCTTCCACTAGATCAGTTTCTTAACAGTACTACTGACATTTTGGGCTTAACAATTCCATGTTGTAGGAGGTGGTCCTACACACAGCAGGGTGTTTAGCAGCATCCCTGTCTCTACCCACTACATGCCAGTAGCACTCTCTAAGTTGACAACCAAAAATGTCTCTAGACATTGCCAAATGTCCTCTGAGGAACAAAATCACCATCTGGTTGACAACCACTACATCAATAATGGCTATCAAACTTTTTTGGCCAAAACCCACAGTAAAAATGGTATTACATAAATGTATATACACATATATAATATCTGAAACAATACCTCATGAAATAATGTCTAATGCCCTCTGATATTTTCCTATTAAAAAACAAAAAGAACGATACTGAGGATTCATAAGGATAGTAACTATCTGTCTCATCTTTGTACCCATAAGAACTAGCTAATTGTGTGGTGTGAAAGAGGCACACAAATACTTGTTAAATTCCACTGGGTGGTAATTTCAAGTCACTCTATAAAGTCTCTTGCAGTTACCAGAATAAAAACGAAAATTAATTCTCTACTCGTGTGGTGCTCAAAATTGACCACCACCCTCTGCAGCTTCCCATGAATGGAGTTCTTCACCTCTGTCCTGAAATATTGTATAGTGTGTAATTCCTAATCCAGGTGAGCAAAAGATACAAGCCCATTAAAATATAACATGTATACTACAGCCCAGCCAGGCGTGGCTCAGTGGTTGAGCATTGACCTAGGATCCAAGAGATCATGGTTTGATTCCCAGTCAGGGCACATGCCTGGGTTGCGGGCTCGATCCCCAGTAGGGGTCGTGCAGGAGTCAGCCCATCAATGACTCTCTCATCATTGATGTTTCTATCCCTCTCCCTTCCTCTCTCTGAAATCAATAAAGATATATTTAAAAATAAATAATGTATAGTACATATGTATACAACATGTGTACTAGGCTATGATCTAAAATATCCAAAACCTAAGGCACCTTTCTTTAAAGCTGTCTAGGATATAACATTCTCACCATTTGCCGATATTCCCGAATCATTTTTAGTTTGTCTTCTCCTCCCTTGTTTTCTTCTTTCTGTTCAATGCTGCTGATTATTCTCCAGGAGGCTCTTCTAGCTCCAATCACATTTTTATATGCAACAGATAGGAGGTTTCTTTCTTCAACTGTCAACTCCACATCCATCCCTGCTACTTTCTTCATTGATTCCACCATTTCTGTAACAAAAAAGTAAAATCAGACCTTACAAAGTTTTGTTAACAAATCCCTTCACAGGTCTTTTTTCTATCAAGCTAATATAAAACAAAACATAAAAATTTTAACAAAAACTTTCACAATCATCAAAACGAATGTAAGTAAAAAACTAAGAGCATATAAAATAAACTAAACTAAGAGCCTGGAGCAAGAGAATCTGTTGTATGGAGTCAGAACATCAAACAGTACCTAGGTATAGTATGGCTTGGAGGAATCTCTCTCATACTAAATAAGGTAACTAAGAATGCACGCCTAACTCGTTTCCCAGTAAAAATAATTGAGCTAGCAGTTTAAGACAAAGATTAAAAATTTACAGGCTCTAAAAATGTATTATCTTACAAATAAATTATTTCTAAATACAAATATTTCCCAAATAACAGTCATGGGAGGAAGGTGAATTCATCAATACAGCAAACATCTTTGAATGTTCCCATCCTTCCTCCTTTAAGGGCACTGCCCACCTCAGGAATTCATTCATGGGCAAAACTTTTGTTGGTTCCTATTAATCGCCACTAGGTGGCGAGCTAAGAAAGGGGCCCAGATAAGCCTTGGTTGATCCCGAGTACTATAGGGAAAAATAGGTAATACGATGAATGCATAGTGAATGCAAAGAACGAACCAGAAACAGCTCAATAAACACTGAGTAAATACATTAATGAAAACTATGCTTTTACAAAAAACCCTAGATGCCATATTACCATGTGGCTCTCCAACTTTACTGATTCAGAATTTTGGTGATAAGACCAAAGGATCTACATTTTTAACAAGCACCTCTAGCTTACATTAACACTCTGTAAGCATAAGCATTCCTTAAGGAATGATGCAGACGGTAACTTTATGAAACAATGCCTAATGGTATGTTAAATTACGTGTAATCCTAGAAAAATGTTTCAAAAATTATCCTTTCAGGAATATCAGTTAAGAAAAATATTAAGTAAGATGGCAAGGTCTTTGGAAAAGTTTGGTAGTTTTTCCTTATACAGTTAACCACCATAAGAATATAGCAATTCCACTCCAAGGTATTAACCAAGAGAAATAAAAACATATCTCCACAAAGACTTTTAAACAAATGTTAACAGTAACTTTATTCATAATAGCCAAAAGATGAGACACACATGGACTGGCTGCCTCCCACACGAGCCTCTCAAACATCCATGTTTCTCTCTCTCCCCCCGCCCCCGACACTCTCTCTGAAAAGCAATGAAAAAAATATCCTTGGGTAAGGATTTAAAAAAATAAACTACTAACAAATCAAACATGCCTCAAAAGTTAAACTTATAAGATTGTTGCCAGATAGGAGGGGGCCTGAGGACTGGAAAGGGATTAAGAAGTACAATTTGGCAGTTACAAAATAGTCACCGGGCCCTGGCCAGTGTGCTCAGTGGTTAGAGCATCTGCCTGGGCACCAGAGGGTCTCGTGTTCCATTCCCGATCCAGGGCATGTGCCTGGGTTGCACGTTTGTCCCCTAGCCCCAGTGGGAAGCAACCGATCGATGTGTAAGTCTTCTCGTCGATGTCCACCCCCCCCTCTCCACCCACCA